TTTGATTCTTTAAATATATAGATACGTATCTTCTATGAAACGCAATTTCTTCATAGATTCATTGCAAGTTGAAATAAATGATAATTTGACTCACGGACACGACGCGCAGCAGCGGAGTTGTGACACAATCACGTGATCGTCTGTAAAAAAAAAAAACACACAAATGTATCCAGGTTACAAAATCGCCTGAAATAATATTTCGAAAATGATCGTTATCCCGCATTGAACCTTTCACTCATTCATTTTCAAATAGAGACACTTAGTACAACAATTATATAATTTGCGTGAGACGATTAATCATTGATCGTGAGTAAACGAACAGCAATTAACAAATTGCTCACCCCATGGTTGCTCCGCTGTCACCCGACGCCTCCCCGGGCTGCCTCCTCCTCCTCCTCCTCTCTCATCTCTTCGTTGTTACCTCGTGGCACTCGCTCACTTGCAAAGACGAAGCTGATTGCACGCCGATTTTATTGAAACACGACGATCGCGCGGAGTTTTACGCGCGGCATTCCCAACGCGCGGCACTCCCGACGCGCGGCGTTAAGTTAGGTTAGGTTAGATTCGCTCACCCGCGGGGACGCTCGTTGATCACGATCGTACGCGCACTGATCCTCGAGATACGACATTCTGCCCGACGCCCCCGACAATTAGGCATATTGCGACAATTGTTATATTGCTATTTTTTGACGGAAGAACAATGCGATGGGAATACGAGCGGAGAATACGATGCGACAATACCTGCAAAGTACAAGTGCGCGTCTCGCGGAGTGACGCGGAGCAGGCAACGGTCCGACCTAGGCTGACAACGGAGCGAATCGAAAATCGCGCGGCCAACTTCACGCGTCGCTCATCGTGCGGCGAATACGATTCGAATATGTCCGAATCGCTTCTGACCGCACCTTCCTCTTCTCGCGCTTTTACTGCCAAACATATGCTGTGATTTTTATCTCGCGCATTTTGTGCATGACACAAATAGGTTAATATACATACGTGGAATATATATACTCAGAATTTGTAGCAAGTTTGCTATGGATTGTATTTTGTATATGAAAAATCACGTGGCCCTTTGTTAATTATTCGCGCGATGGATCTCACGAAACGTATCTCACATAAAATATTTCACGTGAATGCGTGTGAAAAGAGCGAACTTCTCCATCTGGTTATTGGCGATTGATGATCACAAATAAATTAATATACATGTACGTCTCAAAATTTATAGTAAGTTTCTCCATCTAGTTATTGGCGATTGATGATCACAAATAAATTAATATACATATACTCGAAATTTATAGTAAGTTTTCTATGGATTGTATAATGAAAATCGCGTGGCCCTTCGTTGATTATTCGCGCGATGGATCTCACGAAACGTATCTCACATAAAATACTTCACGTGAATGCGTGTGAAAAGAGCGAGCTTCTCCATCTAGTTATTGGCGATTGATGATCGCGTCGTTGGATATAATACGCGGTGGATCGCGTATTTTTGCGGCAGATGCCATGTCGCAATGGTCAATCAATCCCCCGGCAAAACGAGACGCATACACACACTCGAAATCGGGCCGGTCGGTGTGCGCGATCCGATCCGATCTGTATATTACCGCAACGTTGTCATAGGCGCGCATAGCTGTCCGCATCTCGATCGAGTCCGCAGCGCGCTCGCGTTATTGCTACACGGGCGATAATAAATCGCCGATTTAGCAAGCGGCGGCGTACTCTTTCAGCAATCGGTGAGAGCGTCGTCGTCGTCGTCGTCGTCGTCGTCGTCGTCGTTGTCGTCGTCGTAGGTGACGGGCCGCTCCGTTTCGCGAAGTTCGCAGCGCACAGCACGCACACCGCGCCGGGGAGAACGGATTCCTCTCCGTATATGCGCGATTTGTCATACGGGCGCGCTAATTGGACCGACCGCCAATGATGATCCGCCGCCGGGTGAAACGCCAGTCATTGGTAGCAATCGCCTGTTTACAAGTAACAACTCTTACGAGAACTCCGATTGCCAGCCGGAATTATAAACGCGATACGTCGAACCGCGAACGAGGCTGTTGAAGAGAATTTGCGAAACTCATCTCGGCGATAGACAGATCTAATCTTTCATGCCTAATTGATGTCTTCGCAAATATATATGCGGTTAATAAAAACGGGCGAGTATATATATATATCGATATTTGACGAGCAATATATATTTCATGTATTATATACGCTTAACATATATTTGATATATTCGACTTTTAATAACAACCGCATTAATAACTGTAAAGCGTTAACTAAGCAAAAAATTAGGTTTCACCCTCTTGATTTATTGTATCACTTATTAATCACAACGTCTTGTCAATCATCAATCTTTCCGACGGCGCTCGCGTGAATCTTTTTTCGTCAACGAGCGCGCGAGCGTTCCAATAGGAGATTCTCTTTTCATCATCTTGTTCCGCGTGTGCTATTAAGTTATTATACTGCGGCCTGCGTGTCGCAAGCAACGCCGATCGCCTCCGGCAGGTAGGAACGGGCAACGAAACGGAACCCAAATTACGAACTCCCGCTATTACAAATTATTGATTATACTTGCACGTTACGCCATTCGGCGTTTAGGGCAACGAGCGGAATACGGCACCCGCTGCGCTTACGCGAGCCGTAAAATCGCGGCGCGACGGCAAAACCCGGGGGGGGGGATCCCCGCGACGCGCGTGTAAGATAATCGCGTGCGAACGCAAGCCGGAATAAATACGCCGCCGCGCCGAGATTTACACCGGCAGCCGCGGCTATGAAAAGCGCATCTTGCGCGCGTAACGGGCACGAGATAGTTCCGAGATGGTTAAAAAGGTGGAAAAAAAAAAGGAAAAACACCGAACCGCTTCACCTCCACGCGCGCGCGTTTCCCTTTCATATACTTTCCTCGGTGAACTTTCGTTTCTTCTTTGCGTTCAATCGATCATTCCTTTATATAGTTAATGGCCTTCCTCATGCGCTAAATAACCCGATGCTTGAATAACGGCCCGCACACGCAAGGATTTTTCTCGTCGGTATTATAAACTGGCATAACTGCATTTGTATGAATTTTCTTTTTTTTAGATACAGATCGAAATGCATCCGCAGAAGCGTTGGCGTGCCGAGATTCGAGAGACATGTTCGCCGGATATTTTATGCTTTGAGCTTCACCTACTCCTCGTCCTTTTTAGGTCCGCTTGGAAATCGCACGTCGCCGCGAAACGATCTTCACGTACATCATCGGCGGTACCCGTGATTTTCGCCTTCGTATATGGATAGACGTGTCCTCGGCCTAGAAATCATGGTCATTTCCCAAATACATTTGCGAATCGTAGCGAAACGTATCGCGGACGAATCGCTGCTCGAATATATCGTCCGAATATCCCCCGGGAAACAGCATTCATACGCGATATCTCAGAAGAAACGGCATTCGTACGCGATATCTCAGAATTAATTCGCTTCGCACGATAAAATTTTTCATGTCTATCTCCATTTTTCCTTCAAAACGAAATTCTCCATCGTGCGATTGATATCTCGAGTAAAATCTCTAGCTGAGATCTAATATAGAACTCCGTTATTTTTAATGCGATTACATTATTAAGCGCCCTATAAATCGAACTAAACTTATTGCCCCCTAAATATTTTAACCGTCGAATAAAATCGATCCGCTCTCGTGATGCCAATTTGGAACGGACGGATATTGACGGCGGCGCGATCCGTTTGTATCCTCCGTAGATTTAGTTATCTAGTTCCTAGTCGACAAGTACGGCTTCTCGGGTGAAGCTAAGCGTGCGACGAATAACAAACGAGCAATTTTCGATTGCACGCTCCCTGCTTACTGATAGTCCTCATTGGGCTTACTTTTTCGGAGAAAGGACTTAGGAGAGTGGCGCGATGATTTTCGAAACTTCGCTTGGATTAGCTTGCGAAACAAACGAAGACTCATCCTGCATTCACCGTGCACTTGTTTTCATAAACATTTTATTAGCTTACTTAATATGTCATTTTTGTCAGCGTTATGTGTGAAGTATAATTTTATGAAGTTTACGAAGCTTAATTCGTGTCAAAAGCCTTCTGTCTTTCAAATATAATTTTACTCACGTAAAATAGAAAATAAATACGTATAAATTTGAAAAGAATACACAGTCATCGCATCTTTTCTTTACGCCTCGTTAAATTCGTATCTTACTCGATTTTCTCAATTTGATATCTCCGTTTCAAACAAACCGACGGAAAGCGCAACGGAATATTTTATACCCAATCTAGCCGAATCGCCCCGTCGGACTGCTTGAGCGATCACGAGAGTTCACGTGCTCGAGAGTGCTCGGGCGCAATGCTAAAACGTTACTCTCGCTGATCGCGCTCTCCTCGAGCGGAGCCAGCAGATGACACCAAGGCCAGGCGGCGCGAGATTTCTCGCAGCGCGAAGGAGAGAGAGCGAGAGAACGTCCGCGGGAGACGAAAAAAGGGTCCCCCTCGTTAACGGCCTGACCAGGGTCAATCGCGAGAGCAGAACGTCCCGTTACCCCGTTAATTCTTCGATGAGGTCCGAACAGGTCCTTCGGTCCGTCCCCACCGAGCGATTCCTCGCGCGGGGCCCCCCCGACGACAGTGTCTCGGTCTCCTTATGTGTTTTGCCCCCCTCCCTCGTCGGCATCTGCCTCCCACGTTCCCCGGGAGTCTCACCTGGCCGGTAGCATCCTCCTGCACTCCCGACGAGGACTTTCTCCGAAAGACGGCCAACTATATAAGCGAGATGCACGCTGTTTGAAGCACGTTAGACGAAATCGCACGGGTGCGTCGAGCAGGCCACGTTGTGCCGCCGCGCCCCGATTACACTCTGTTTCCATATTCGTAAGTTCACACCCTCCCCGCATATACGTGACGGGAAACGAGAGAGGGAGAGAGAGGGAGAGATAGCACCCGTTCGTATACGGAACGCAAATTCGTGCATGTGACTCGGGCGCCGAGAAACGCCGCAGAGACTTCCTCCACGAGACTTCCGATCGTCGGGGACCATGAGGCCCGCGAGAAGCTGGGCCCCGTTGGCAGTGACCGCGCTGGTCGCGACGGCTCTGCTGCTGAGGCCCATCCACGCTGATGGTAAGATCTGAGAAGAGTCCGTCATCCCAAGCAATTTATCCTTTTAAGCCTCGAGATTGCTCCTCGGACTTTTAAATTTGGAACTTATGCGACTTGTTTTTATCGGTGACGAGAAGGAACGGTCTGCAATACGGTGATATGCAGAATTCAGCTGCAATCTTGCAGCTGAAATGTGGAATTAATCTTGGACGAAGAAGCTTTCGGGGTCTGTTAAATTTTTATAACGCGAGATGGAATAACTTTGGTATAGTATTATTATTTCATTCAGATGAAACGGAATTATTTTTGCATTAAGATAAAACAGACAACTTACGCAAATATCTAATTATTGTTTAATGTTGTTCAATGGAGAGAGAGAGAGAGAGAGAGAGAGAGAGAGAAAAGAGAAGAGTATGAGATTCGACCACATTAATTTTTCGCGAGAGTAAAAGCAGTGTCTCAGGAAGATCGCGTGTCGGTATTCTGTATCAGAAAGCAGGATGAATTAATGACTTTGGAGAGAAAGAATGCTTTTATAATATTAAAGTCACGTTGCTCTTAATGCTCCTCTTTCTCACGTTTCATATAATAGCATATTAAATTCATTATAGTAAAAAAAAGAGGAAAGAACACTAAGAGGTAGAATTTCTTGTAGCTGGCACATGCTTCCAAGTAGAGTCTTCAGTAGAATACAATTTAGAAGGGGGATGCGTCGTAAGAAACGTGCTGTACGTCAACGGTAATTTCACGGTTAAAGTACGCATTACGCGAGCGCGCCATGTCACGTAACATTTTTGCACGATTTAATGAATGCCCCGCCACGACGGATCTCTAATTTGTCAGAGCTTGTCGGAAAAACTTATTAGAAAGTCCACCTTTAGTCCCCGCGACGCGTCGCGATGTTGCACTAGTGAAAAATGGAATTCACGCGACGATTTGGCAAATGTTTTCACTTTCGGCTTATTAAGTGTATTAAATTGAATTTTTTATTCGAGACTGTAGTCAACCGAATTTTAATTTTTTTTTAGAAGGAACAGACCGCGGTGAGAAATTAACTTCTTCACGACGTACTCCTTGCCGCAAAGCAAGATAATAAAATGCTCAATCGAGATAAAGGAAAAAAAACGTAAAGCTAATTGAGCGTTAAATCTTGACGATGAGATTCTCCGTGTCGCTTTCAATGTTTCTCAAGCGCAAACATGTTCAATCTCTTATTATACACATATACCTGTTTTAGTTCCGATTGAGAACGTTTCGCGATGCATTTCTCGTCTCTCGAATTGATTTAAATCTCCGATTAAGGTCCAAGCGCTCCCCATTGGCGTACTATACTTTACGCAGTTTCACGCCATCTCGGTTAATCATAACAAAAAAAACTATTTTAACAACTGGTTAGTCAAACAACGAGATATTTCCATGCCATGGATTATTCGTAATTTATTCCTCCAAGGTTTACTCGATCGGCCGAAGCGATCAGTACGTTTTTTCACTCCTCCATAATCCGTCTCGCAAGTAATGCAGGCGAATTCATGAAATTGGGACGCATGAAAAAGTAGAAACCGTGTGTGTGTGCGTGAGTGTGTGCACCGGGCCTGAAATAGTCGAGCATTAGGGCGACGTGAGTTATCGGACAGCATCTTTAAGTAAATTGCGCATGGCGTGTTGGGATCGTTGTATAAATCAGGACGATATCAGGCGCGATCTATACCGTAATCTAAACTCGAAAGCGCGCGAGCGTGCAAGCCGAAACTTCGCCGGTTGTGCGCTCTCAGTTCGCCGCGATTGTTCCGATTTCGATTTATAACACGTGTAAAACGTCACGCGCGCGCGCGCGCACACACACATACACACATGTGAATTATTGTTTCAAACGCAGCGCGCGTGTTGCAAATTGGCCGCGGCCGCAGCGGTTGTCTAATGGGAAAATGTTAACAAATTAGTTTCTCTAAAAATAAAACGATGGTGAAAAAGCGAAAAAGTTTACCTTTTATTTCGCTCTATATGTTATTCCGTCGCGCCTTTTACACATCACTCTCTTTGCTCTATTTTAAAATTTTATTTTATTTTATTTTACACCGCCTCTCCCATTTCGATTCACTTTATTTTATTCCATTCAATTTTTATATATATCGCAAATCAAATTTGCCTGCTACTTCATCTGTCATCTCTTCAATGTTGTTCAGCCGTATAAATTATTTATGTCTGTTAAGAGAGCGAAGCGAAACCTTCGATAAATCGCGTCGGGAGAAATTAAATTGGAAGAATTAAATGTCCACTTGTTTAACGGATAGATAGGTGTATAGCGAATCGCTGATCAGGGATTAATTGGCGTGCTCGCCAGGGTCTCCGTTGACCCGTTCCGATCCGGTCGTAAATGATACCTGCAGCAGCGATGAGTCTCGCGTCTTCACCTGCCGCGGCCGAGCATCACGCTCGCGCGATAAATCAATCGGACACGTTCCGGCGCATCAGCCGCGCGATGAAAGCGAGCGTGACTCAATCGGCGCCGTTAACGCCGCGCCGCGTTTGACAAACGAAAAGAAAAAATGCCGTGCACCGCTATTATTGTGAAAATCGCGTTGGCGTTTTCGACCGTACGGCACAAAGCGTCTCGTAATGACCGTCTTACGACGAATCCGCGCGATGATGATAGCGGCGCGGAGCAGATAAAGTCCCGCGATAAGGAATCGCGTCACGGTCTGATTACGACTTCCGTGGCCGCCGCGCTTTGTGGCTTAGAGCACTGCTCGACGCGAACAGTAGTTCTACCTGGCAGCGAGATTTTCCTCCTTCGCCTGCAGCGAAATGTAGACATCGCGCTCTTGAAATTGAAGCGCAATTTCGGAAATTTCAGCCCTCCTGACTACCTGTAAATTGTCTTAATTTTTGTACACGATTCAATTTTGAACTATGTACGATTTCGATTGTTTAGGGATTGTTAAAATGTTGGTAAACGGTGAATTAAAATTTCTATCAATAATACCATAATGGAAATAGGACTTAGATAGCTTTAGAAATTCCTATATGGGAAGAGAAAACGAAGTTTTAGAATTCCTACTTTGTATTGCGCCAACTTCCAATCTTGATTACTAGGAAGCCGCGTAAATGCTATTGTCGACTTTATTACTTTATCATCTTGCCGCTAATAACGTTACCGCAAACAATAAACGTCCCTCACTGATGGTAATTTCGTCGAAAGATTGCGATGTAATAAAAAGTCACCGGCAAAATATAAGAAGACACAAGTTACTTAGGGAGAGTAGTCAAATTAATTCGTAGTAATTTCTAAGATATATCAAGTACGATTCTAAAATTTCCTCGAATATAAAATTAATTAAAATGCATTAGACTTTGGCTGCGCCAGCCAAGTTGTATTTTATGTCTCCTTCTAAAATATTTTTTTAAAGATAAGAAATTTTAGATCCAGAATTTTATTTTCAGCGCCTATCTCGGGCAGTTATCTGCCACCGTCGACCAGCTATGGCACGCCTAATCTAGGAGGTGGCGGCGGCGGCAACGGCGGCGGCGGCGGCGGCGGTTATTCCGGCGGCGGCGGTGGAGGAATATCGACGAGCTACGGTGCGCCTTCAGGCGGTGGCGGTGGATTCGGCGGCGGTGGTGGCTTCGGAGGTGGTCGACCTTCCTCGACCTACGGAGCACCCGGTGGAGGTGGCGGTGGCGGTGGCGGCGGGGTGTCCGCCAGCTACGGAGCACCCCCATCCTCGAGCTACGGAGCACCCCCGTCCTCGAACTACGGAGCACCCCCGTCCTCGAGCTACGGGGCACCGTCCGGCGGCGGCGGTGGTGGCGGTTTTGGAGGTGGTGGCTTTGGCGGTGGAGCGCCTTCCAGCAGCTATGGAGCCCCATCTCGCCCCTCCGGCAGCTACGGGGCACCGTCCGTAGGACGTCCGTCTTCCACCTATGGCGCTCCTTCGGGAGGAGGCGGCGGATTCGGCGGCGGCGGTGGTTTCGGCGGCGGCGGCGGCTTCGGCGGGGGTAAACCATCCTCGACTTATGGGGCACCGTCGAATGGAGGCGGTAGACCGTCGTCAACTTATGGCGCACCTTCCAGCGGTGGCGGAGGTTTCGGCGGCGGTTTAGGTGGCGGTTTTGGAGGTGGGGCACCCTCCTCGAGCTACGGGGCGCCTTCCTCGAGCTACGGAGCGCCCTCCTCGTCATATAGCGCACCCTCCTCGAGCTACGGGGCACCGCGCGGCGGTGGTGGTGGCGGCGGAGGTGGATATTCCGGAGGTGGAGGCAAACCCTCGACCAGCTATGCAGCGCCTTCCTCGAGCTACGGAGCACCTTCTTCGAGCTACGGAGCGCCTAGTTCCGGCGGCGGTGGCGGCGGCGGCGGCGGCGGCGGCGGCTTCGGAGGAGGTGGATACTCCGGTGGCGGTGGAATATCTTCAACTTACAGTGCACCCTCGGGAGGTGGCGGTGGATATTCCGGAGGTGGCGGCGGATACTCCGGCGGTGGTGGCGGATACTCCGGCGGCGGTGGTGGATATTCCGGCGGGGGCGGCGGTGGATATTCCGGCGGTGGCGGCGGTGGATATTCTGGCGGTGGCGGCGGCGGATATTCCGGCGGTGGTGGTGGATATTCTGGCGGTGGCAGTTTCGGAGGGTAAGATATGTGACAATAAAATAAATACAAAACTATTCAGTTTTATTGTTTTGTAAAAGACATTGTCTCAATGGATTATTTTGTCCAATATCATAAATTTGCAGTTCTAATCATAAAAATGTCTGCAATAATTAAGATCCTGCTGAATTATAGCATTTATTTAATCCGGTATGCTCATTTTTTATTAATTTCGCCCAATTTTGAAATATTACTTTTACTTCTAGTTTTTTATTTCCGTATTACTTTTATCATTAATTTTTTTAAATCTACCAATCTATAGTTTTTCTCATGATTTGCTCTTGCTCTGTTCTCAGTTCTAGTGGTTACTCCGGCGGCGGTGGTGGTGGTTACTCTGGCGGTGGCGGTGGTGGTTACTCCGGCGGTGGCAGACCGTCGTCGAGTTACGGTGCTCCGCAGATACAGAACGGTGGCGGACAGAGCTACGCCAGCAATGGAGGATACCAATACTAATCCAGATATGTGTTCACCCGGCGAGACGATCTCCATGCTCAATCACGTCGGCTTCCATCAGATTTTTCCGGATTGGACGACGCAATCCGGATCTATCAAGACTCGTCATAGTTCGATCGATCAGCTTGAACGATTACGTGTTATCAGAAAACGGATTACGTCGATCCGAGAGGCCGACTTTCATTAAAAGATGATAGCCTTGATTGGTGCCTCCACAGTTACGAGGAGATATCCTGGAGACTTGATCGCTGATAACACTGTGAATAAAGATTTGAGAAGATCCAGGCATCTCGTTGCTCTCATCGAGTGTCCTTAACAATTGTATGGATACATTTGAGATCTTCCACGGGAACATTTTTTATCCGGCAGCCGACGGGAAGAAACGTGCGAGCATTGTTCGCCGCGTCGTGAAAATTCACGAAATTCGTGCTAAGATTTAACAACGATGGGTTCTCAGTCGGGAAAATTGTGAGCGAAGGAATACTCGTCCCGATGGCAGGCGCGTTCCCGCGAACGGCCGAAAGAGCATAATGTTTATTTTTTTCCCTTTTTTTAATATTATTATCACTTTCATATACCGGCTTCCAGGAAAGCGTCTGCTTGTGGAACGTTACTTCCGTCAATATCGAAGAAAAGGATCGAGGAAGAAGAAGAAAAAGAAGAAGGAAAAACGAACGAAAAAACTCGATTTTCCACATTCGGAGCCTGTAACTTATTTATTTTGTAAAGACGCTTTTTTGTACTAATAATAAAGCCGCTATACGCTGATAAGGAATCTCGTCGATTTGTCGACTTCTTGATCCCGTTCCGTTGCACTAGAAAAAAAAAGAGAAATTATCGTAATATCTTTCAGGAAATCTACACTTATTTCACGGGGGTCTTTTTAATTATAGAACCACCTTCGTGTGCTGTAAAGCTAAAGACCCGAATTTCAGATTCAATCTTCTTCTGATTTTTCCAGTCACGCAACTATTTTTTCCCCTTTTTACAAATGTGATAAAATCTCTTCGCGGTTTGACTTCGCCGATTAACTATCGCAATCTTCAACGAAACGGTGTTCGTTTTGAGAAGAGTTCGAGCCCTTTCTACACCCGAAGGAAGACGATCGACGAGCGCGAAGAGGTGCTCGGCATAAGGTTAGTCGGCCGACACGGTCGGGACGGTCGATTTATCGATTCTCGTGGCTCGGATACCGGGAGGGCATGAATAACTAAGAGCTCTCTTTCTATTCCTGCCGTCGGACGTCTAAAAGCGCGTATCGATATCGAGGGAGGGGACCTCCGTGGTCGATGGCGAGCCGTGCCCCCTGATCGCGTTGTCGGCCGGCGAAAATGGAAATGAACCGAAACGCGGGATGTTGCGAGTAGCCATCGCCGAAGGTCCCTGCAGACGTTAAAAAATTAATACGGAGATCCCGAGAGGTTTCCACTGGATATGGTCCGTAAATATTAAAATATTGCCCAGCTTCGCTCGTTTCGTTACGTCGTATTACCGATATTACGTCGTATCTTCACAAAAACACGGAACGTAAGAGGAAGATAGAAAGTCTAGCACGTATAGTAAAAGTAAGTTAACGTAACAATTTCACTGAATCCCCTTCTAACCAGCTCCGTCTAACGTCATTTAAACGAATGTAGTTACGTGCGAGTTTACGCTGCAATCGACAAATTGACACAAGTATAACGGCTCATCGATCCTTCCAGAAATTTGATCTTCTTCACCCTTCTTAAAAATTTAACCCTCTCCGAGAAGCTTAGATCTAATGTAATTCTCAACCCTTCAAATATCAGAGTTCACGCTCTTTTAAAGGAAAAGCAAAAGGTTATCGTCGGGGTTGGTATTCACAGTCGAGACTCAGCGGAGGGATCCAACAACGTGTTCTTTGAAGTTATTATTCATATAACGATCTTACTATATTTAAGTCTAATCCCTCCTCACTCGTTTGCAAATTTATAAATTCCGAGGAAGTTCTCATTTTCTCGAGCATTTCGATGCAAGAGCTTATCTTACCTGCCGCTACGTTATTCCCTTAAGGCGCCATTTGCGAAACGTTGCTTTTCCGAGTCTTCCAAGATAAATAAATCAGTTCAGCCTTGGGATCGTGTTTGAGGAAAGGAAAGCGAGGGAAGCAGAAGTTCAGGCGGTATGTACCTATCGTCGAGAGCTATCTTTAAGTTCGCCCGACCACGCCGAATTCGTCTCGAGACTACAATACGGAACACTTCCCGGCGTCGTCAAACGCCAAATATGAACCGCCCGAACATTTTTGTACACCGTTTATTTTTAACATTTACAATCAACATCTCTTTTGTTTTGTCAATTATACACGTATAATGTCATATAATACAGTAACGCTTCTGCAATACATATACATGGATATAATCCTCCGGGTGGGGATGGGGGAGGAAGGGGGAGAGCGGGTAAATCGGAGGGGGCGAGGGCACTTTGCTTTTTACATAATTGATAAGTTACTTCTACATAATTAGGTAAGTCACCCCATGCGTTTGGGACGCGCAACATTAAGTACGCAACATTTTTTTTGGTCTCCAAAGCGGGAAAGCGATCGACGATCTCGGTTTCGGTTGACGAGGATTCGTCCTCGCTAATTCTTATTCGGACTACCTCGCGACTTTGCTTTTTCCGTGACCTCCACACGTTTTTCGCACGGCACGGACTGGCCGTCGATTCGCGATTTTATTCTGCGGCGAAGACGACGTCGCTCTGACGGGGCAAAATGGACCTTTGGCAATCTCCTTGAGACTAAATTGATAAAATAGATTTTCTTTGAATTAAAAGGTATGTCGATGGCAAGATGGAAATTTGAAAATAGCTGGGGCGTATAAAGTAGATATCCGATAAAATTGTAATTTGTATTCTAAGGAACGAACAGGCTTTTATGTTGAGAAAAAGAAGTACGCGGTGTGATCCGAAAAAAGCTTTGGTTTTATACCTCAGTCATTTAAATCGCGATTCAAATTCGTAAATTCAAATAATCTATAAGATCCAAATAGCAAGGTAATGTCTTATTGACGTTAGAGACGTTATTTGATGTCACCTTGCTACTTGAGGACCGACATTTGCTAATAAAATTTCCAAAATTCGAGTCTCTCGGCGCGAAGTTGCGCGCATAAAGATCAAGGACATACTCGCGGTTGGAAAAGTGGCACGAATAGTCCCCTTTCATCCCGCCCCGAGAGCGACGAACGTGTTCGCCCCAAAGGATATATGTTGTATATACATATCTCATATAGTCTTATCTTATTACGCGCTTTCTCCTCTCCGCGACTAATTATCTAATATACGATAGAGAGCACACTTTATGATATGTATAGGTTTCTCGTTGCGTCGCCGATTACAACGTACGTTGATATGTAGATGATACGTGGCCGTCTTATGAGAGCATTTTCTCATAAGCTTTATAACGTCTACTAGTTTTCTCCCGCGCGTTCTCGACACGCGGCACCTCCACTCTTTGAATCCTTAAATTCGTATATAAAAGAAACGACCTGGAGTCGACCTCGAAGCACAAATATCTATCGAGATAAGCAAATTCATTATGACGAAACAATCGAAACGAAGTGTAGATGAATGACCGATAAATTGCTGAAAATCCACAATTTCCTCCTATCTCAATTTCCTGAGTGTAAACATCGAAGAAAACGCGCGAATACGAGAACGCAGAAGAGCGAAGGAAATCAAAGACTTACGTTTCAGATTTATCATGTAATTACGTCTTAACTATTCCCATTTAAAAACGTCAGAACTTGAAGATTCGTCCCGCGGGCTCAACAATTTAAATCCAAGACGAATAAAAAAACTCGAGAGCCCATTAAAGTCCTCCTTACCGTTCATTTAAATCGCGGAGAAATGAAGAGACGTGAAAATTCCGTATATACCACACAGTAATCGTTTAAAACGGGTCAAGACGGGCTGTCTCTCCACTTCGAACTCGCCGGAAAACTCCGACGAGTGGTGTGTCGAAAGGAGGGAAACGCGCGCGCTGCGTAGAAAAATAATTCGCGGATACTTTCGTTCGTGATACTTTCGTATATTCCTGGCGCGCGAGAAGCGAGACCGGCGATCTTCGCACGCGGCTCATTGTATCGCGATACTTTCGTGCTTCGGCAGGAATATAATAAGGATAATAATCCCGCGCGCGCGCGCGCAAGAACATCTCGTTGTCCACGAGCGTCACGGATTAGCCAGCCGGCGCGCTCGTCATCGTCTCTAATATCCGAGTGAAAGTACACGCGGAGCTCTTAGCGACGGACGGACGAACGAACGGAAATACACACGGGAGATGCACGGTACCGCGCGGCGAGAGAGGATCCACGATGCTCGGATCGCGCGCGCGAATGCTATATCCCTTCCCCTCCTTCGCAGTCACCGTATCGCGTACAGCGAGCGCGTACAGGCATCGGGCTTCTCGCGTTTCGAATCGTGCCGTCGCGTCGCACGCTCGTAATTTCACCTGCGAGCGGCGTCTTCGACTTAACGAGCGGATAATATGACCGGCGCGCTGCAGCGGGAAACCGCGGCTAGGCCACTTCCGGCAAATCGCCAAGGATCCGTAAAACCCCTCCCCCTACCTCCGCCCCGTATGGTCGAGGGGGGTATTTTCGATTCCGCTGGAGAACACCGCGGAAGAGAGGCTCGTGAACGAAGGAGATGCGCACGTGATCTTGAATGCAGAACGAAGTGACAAGCGCGATTCGAAGCCGAGTCTTGCCTCGGAAAGAAATCCGATCCGTAAAACAGTTTCCGGAAAGTGAGAAGAAAAGATGAACACGTTCGTATAATTTCTTTCCAACTGAAATTCTTGCTTCAAAATGAAACAAACGCTTTGCGAAAGTGACACACGCACACGCACGCACACATACGCACGCGCATCCATACACACTCACATACGCGCAAAGAGATAATATTTTAAATGACTTTAATGCTTTAGAATATTACATCAGGGACTTCGGTCGTGTGCAGATCGCTGCGTCTCGTTGAAGTATAAGAAGCCCTTTTAAAAATTCCTGACATTTGGACTGAAAAACACGTTTTTTTCCTCATTTTCTCGATGTGACATCAAGTTATTTAAAAGTACCTTCGTTACCAACGTTATTTGATATATCCGATGTATCGATAATAAAATTTCTGATATGTCAAACATATAAGAGTTCCATATACTTTCATATCTACTATCTGTCTACGAGATAAACGAATTAACAATCTTTGCACATTGAAAAATTTAACACGGAGGCAGGTCTTAAATGCGAGTCCATCGGCACGAGCGGGAATTCCTGATCTAACGCGGGAATAAAAACGCGTCTCTGTAAACTAGAAAAATATACTCAGCTCACACGCTACTCCAGGAATAACCGCATTCTGTGTTTGGAGAAAAATGGTTATTACGTAATTCTATTTTGCAAGCACGATGAACGAGAGGGACCGATCGATTATATTCACAATGTAAACGAAGAAAACGATCGTAAATGCGAGCGGCGATACGCTCGAAAACTTAACTTGAATTTTGCAGGATCGCCAAGTCAGACGCATATCACAATTCGCCGGGTGAGTAGGAACTAAGTACAAAAACGCCGTACTATCTACGAAATTATCTAAAGTATCTCATCCCGTCGTTTACGCAAGCAAACGTCGCGTTTCGAGATCCGAGAAGGGGTCCAAATCCTGAGTGCGCGCTTGAAATTTCGCAACATCCAGAAAACGTTTGGGACCGTTTCGATCCCGGAAACGGGAACTTGAGCGCGAAAGAAGCAATGGAATTTACGCTCCAGATTCAACGCGAGGGGTGACACAGTTCTCAAAAAATATTTCTTATTTTTTTTAATCAAATTATATATGTTACATCCCCTCCCTCTTAATACTCGGGTTTAATTACTTTTCCAATGGGGTTTGCTTAAAAATCATCAAGTTTCAGATCCCACGCCGACGACGTCAAGCCTCGAAACGCGACGTTTCTCATCCTTTGGCGGCAAATAATGATATACAGTATATGAGCAATCAGGTATAACGAGCGTTAAATATATTATATATTCTTCTAGGCGTTTTATGCGTATTGCGTATAGCGACCTCGGTATCGGTGCTATAATAATATACATATATATATTTTTTTTCTTGTGAACCACGTAACAAACGGATCCTCAAAATTAACAATGACGGCGATAACTCGTACCTGCGATATTAACACCTATGGATTTTAGTCTTCTCGTGTATGTATAACGTGTATGTATAATATATATATATATAGAGAGAGACAGAGCGGTCTATATATTTTCTTTCTTCGTCTCACTATGTCACTCACCCATCTCTCTCGCTCTTTACTGCATCTTTGCCGCACATGATTTTTATATATCATACATTTATATTATTATATACTATATGATAAACACAACGGACCTGCGTTACGGACGGTCTGCCTGACGAAGCTCCGCGGCTCACGTTTGACGCACGAATGCAGTGACGACGCCGCCATTCACGTGTCGCACGCGACGAAAAAGCTGTGCAAGAACGTAACTATGTCGTAAGTAATCGGAGATAATCGAGCAATCAAAATGATCATTTAACGCTACGATCTATTAACATCTACATTAATATCTACAAGAAACTAAGAAACTCCTTTTGAATGAAATAGCATAAAACAATTTCGATAGGCCAAAATTAACACATATTTTAAAAGTTCTCGTATATATATATATTCAACTCTTATAGCGATTAGAGTTCTTTACACTTTAACATGGTACTATACAGTTAATTCCCTATAAAAATACTGCTTGTGATATCGTTTTTTCTCATTTTTATTTCACTATCGTACTTTAAACCAGACATAAGAACGTCTAATGCCTTTAAGTTTCTCAAAAGCGAAATAAATTTTCAATCTGGCATACAGCCACTTATTTTTAACGGCCGGTAACGAGATCGGCCTCAAACGTGAGCCGCGAAGGAAACTTAAAATTCTACGACGAAAGCGGCCGTGCTAGATCATCCTCCGGTGCCACTCGGTTCTAACGATGCATCTACACAAGCGTTTCTTTTACGCTAGTACGTATAGATGAATATATGTGTGTGTGTGTGTGTTTTGTGTGTATGTGTGTGTTGTGTATGTTGTGTGTATCATGTCCCGTGTGTGTTCCTGGGCGAAGCGAGGGAAGAACGATCGATCGCAAGTACAAAAGCTTCGTTTTACCTCTTTCTCCTAACACCGACGTGGACACTCGACATTACGACGCACGTTAACTAATTATAGCGTGAACTAATTGCAGTGAGAGAGGCGATAGGAGGATGGCATACTGGATGGACGGGGTTTCTCTCTTCCAACGTGCCACGAAGGCGTGCCCGAACGATCGATATTTATCGCCGATAGTTCAAAATCAAGAAATATTTTCACGATCGTCGCTGGATATGCCGAGTGAATAATAAATTGTTGCCGAATATACTGAAATATTTTATAACCTTGTTAGAGAAGGAAGATATATCCTTTTTATAATATGACCGTCGGAGCTCTCGCGAGACTATATGTCATTTGGAATATACGATGTCATCCATTTGTCGAATAATCCATTTATAAATACATTAAGGAAATTGCCGATATTTTAATATTAAGCTGACAATTTCCGATATATATTTAGATTGGCGATAAATATTAATCGATAGCGCATATTTTATCGCGCGTTTGTGCCAAATGTGGCTATTTGATGTTTATATCATTGAGAATGAGAATTTCATATTTGCTCAGTCAAATAGGAATTTACGTTAGATGATTTTCAGATAATCACATTCGGCACGAAACGCGAAATAAAAATATGAATTAGGATACTTCAAGCACATCGCATACATCTTCTCGTCATCTCTCACTTTGCAACTTCCATTGCTAAGCTTCGAATTTCGACCCGACTGAAAAATCCTTCTGACGTTAAACGATAATTAAAGTTTAATTATCCGCACAGAGATAAAAGATCACGAAGACCAATCGTAATTTTAACGATTCCACCTCGTACGTCGTTTGACACACGCACAGGATTCGAGAGAAAGCACACGATACGCCTACGATCCCCATAGATATCCCCCATGATACAAGCCTATGTAAACACGTTGACCGCTCGATCTAATTAATTTCTAACGAAGAGAAACCACGCGCGCCGATCGATCGAGCCCTCATGGGAACCCTCGCAATCCTCGCTCGATTTTCTCAAAGTCAGGCAGATCGTTCGAATTAACACTCTCAAGCAGCTCTTTGTTAAACTCTAAATATATATAATATCTTTTTTGCATATATTATTTTCATATATATATATACTTATTTTTTATTTATATATATATATACCTCTCCAAAAAGAAAACAAGGAAATCACTAGGCCTAATTGGCGGTGCGGGGTAGGGACGTCCGGCCGTAGTACGCCCGAAGCTCCGACTTCCGGTTTGGAAACGCCACGCTTTATCCCCTTGCCGCTCGCGCGTACTTTCCCAGTCGCCCTATACTTCCTTTTTCGGTTTTTACCGTTTTTCCTCCCCGTTTTCTCGTTTATTGCTTTTTCTGAGCAGCGACGGGAATACGAACGCGAGCGGACGCGGGCAGGTACAGATTGTTACACGAGCACCAGCAGCGTGCAAACGTGCGGATATACACGCGCACACACACTCGTCACGCAGAGAGAGACAGAAGGACAGGCACGCGCACACACGTACACGCACATACACGCGCACAGATACACACGCAGACACTCATAGGTACGCGAGTACGAAAGAAACTTCGTGTCGGACTTACCGCAGGCCACCGCATTGTTGGCTCATCTCGGAGCTCCGTGGTCGTAAGGCGGGATAAGAAAGAGGAAAAGCGAAAAACTGGAAAACGGGACGCACACCGGTGGGTTTACGTAAACTGGCCCGGGAAAGTCTGAAAGCCGATTAACACTAGAACGACCCCCTCCCAAGATGGACAATTTGTGCTACTGACGTTTCCGACCATCTACAATAATCATCACGATAATTATCCTCGGCATTCCCCTCGGGGAACAAATTGGAGTAGAAGAAGCGATGCTAGCTAAATATATACGATTACGCGCCTCGTGTGTCGACTAGAGATTCAAGACGCAAAATAACGCGGAGGCACAAATCGGACGTTCTAGTATTAATTCTTGTCTCTCCCGAGAATTTCCTTCGAAATTATTTTAGCAATTATTTGATTAATAGCTTTGGCAAGTAAAATGATTGAACGCGTATCTTAGGTGTAACGATATTGACGCGCAACTAATAGAAATAAGGCCCCTCGTGATGTTAACACTTGGAATGGATCTTCTATTGCGTTTGTTAGAACGATTACGCTGTCTTTAACTGAGAGTTAAGAAAAACAGATTGTCAGATTTGATTGAACATACCGTTGAAAGAGGCAGCCGAAGAAGGTCCGAAGAAATCCGACTGCAGGAGTTTCCAAACGAAACGCGCAGGCGGAGGAGAAGAGGATCGCGTGGGTGGAGCGAGGGGTGAAGGAAAACGAAAGACAGAGAGACCCGCACCGCCGCACTTATTGTTGGTCACAGCATCCGATCACGGAACCAGGAGTTAGAACGCGGTGCTGGATTGCGGCTGTCGGGACGCCGGGCCGCCGGGCACGTGTGGCACCAGGTGTCCCCCGGCGCCGCCGACCCCACCGCCGCCGCCGCCGATGACGCCGCCGCCGACGACGCCGTCCGTCGTACCTCCGACCATCGTACATCCCGGCTCCATGTCGTAGTCCGGCTCGAGCGCAGGGTTCACTCGGCCGTTCGATTCGTCCTTGCTGCCGTAGAGCCTGCCGACGCCCGCAGCTAGGACCGCCATCTGCTCGCCTTCGGCCGGGTCCGGGCCCACCCGCTCAACGTCCTCCGGGATGTTCACCACGCACCTGAAGACGTCGTAGCCCGGCGCGAGCCGCCCGGTTAGGAAGGCGAATTGCGTGCCGTATGACACACCCACCAGGGTCACCAGCGACATCAGCATCGCCATCGTCCTGAACGGGAACATTTGCGTCTTCGTCTCCTCGTTGTAGCCCGG